CCTGTTTCCCCCCCACCCTCATATCTCCAGGATTTGTTTCACATAGTGCTAAATGGTTATGTGCAGTATTCAGAAGATAAATAGTCAAGATGTTTGAGCAAACAGCGGTGTGATGAAGTGCTGCAGTGCTGCAGAGAAGTCACATCATCCTGATATCTGCAGGTTTTTTTTTCTTCTCCACATAGCGAGATCAGTTCATTGGTAATATTGTGTTCTGAGAGTGATTTTTACTGAGAATAAGGTCACACAATTCATGTAAGAGTAGATTCACAAGGTTTAATTTGATTCGAGGGTTTAGGAGGTGATTTTTTTTTGTTCCTGTCAGCTCATTTTGATGCATGTTTCTCTCTTTCCTTTTTCTTTTGCCTCGCTGCAGTTCGTCTCCATGACAGTATCTCAGAGGAGGGCTTCCACTATCTCCTCTTTGACCTGTGAGTTTCCCTCGTTCCTCCTCCTCCTCCTCTTCCTCCTCTTTTTCTCTGCCGTTCTCTGTGTCTCTCTCTCTCTCTCTCTCTCTCTCTCTCCTGATGCTTCACTTTCCTCCGCTCCCTCTCTCCAATCCTCGCTGCATCTGTCTCCTTACTTTCTTTCCTTATATCCGCATTTACATCATTACCGCTCTTCCTCTTCCTCCTCTTCTTTTCCTTCTTCCTCTCCTCTATTCCCCTCCTCGCTTTCAAGGCAGTTCCCCCCCGTTACATAACAGTCCTCCCCTCCTCCCCACCTCCATCCTTGCGGCTTCCACTTTATCGCACACACTCACACATGCACACACACAGATGCATGCACACTCCCCCGCACAGGAGCCAGTCTCCATGGCAACCCAGTTGGAGTGAATCCTGCAGCCGGGGTTTCCCCCTAATGAGGACATCCCCCTCCTGTGTGTGTGTGTGTGTGTGTGTGTGTGTGTGTGTGTGTGTGTGTGTGTGTGTGTGTGTGTGTGTGTGTGTGTGTGTGTGTGTGAATAAAGGTTTATACTTCTCTTCTTTCTCAGGGTGACAGGAGGGGAACTGTTCGAGGACATTGTGGCCAGAGAGTACTACAGTGAAGCAGACGCCAGGTAAACATGTAATAAATCCCCCGTCTCCCTCGCTCTTCTTCTTCTTCATCCCCCCCATGTGTCAGTCCTCCAGCCTCTGCAGTCCTCCAGCAGCACCAGCACAGTCCAGATCCTCTCATTAGCACACACAGGCAGCTCTGACTCTGACACATTGGTGGTGTTTTTTTTTTCTTTTTGGCTCGAGTTCTGATGGATAATACCTCGACGCATTTTTCTGGTCGAGGACGTTTTTATTTTTTTCCCAGAGTCAGAATTTACAGACAGATGGAAACACGCACACATGCACCACAAAACGCACACATGCCCACGCTGTAACCCCCTCAGGAGGTAGACTTAAATCAATTTGACTGTGGAGGCGGTTCGTGGAGGCGAGTGAGAGAGAGAGAGAGAGAGAGAGAGAGAGAGAGAGAGAAGAAGGGGGACTGGAAAAAAGGAGGGAGGAGGGAAGGGAAAGAGGTAGAATGAGTGATGCAGTAAAAAACAGATTTTATTTCCAGCTGTTTTTAAACCTCCTTAAATATCTCTGACTCTGCGCTCCGTTACACCCTGACAGTTGTCACATTTAAGGCTATAAATGTCCCACTTACGCTGCAGGCATATTATCGTAAAGAAATCTAACTACAGGATCTTTAAGAGAGCTCAAGCATGCAAGGAAATCAAACCATCTACAACTTCAGACGACAAGGGGGCGTGTCAATAAGACTCTAATCACTACTTCCAAATTATGCAAATACTGCAGACGTGGGACTTGATTTTGGTATCAGGTGTTTCTTTTGTTGTACTCGATATATCATCCAGCAGGCACAAGCTGGAAAACAGTCCCTGTGGAGAGCAACATTTGGAATACAATCCCCTGCATGATGATGGGAAAGCTGGCTAAATTTGTGGCCTCTCTGTGAAGCCATATAACGACTTATAGTCAAAGACTTTCTTTTCTGCGCTGCATTGTTTACAGTCCAATTAGCAACCTGGCCTGTCCAACTGATAGGAGACCACGGGGTAGACCCAGAACGCCCTGGAGGGATTATATACAATCTGGCCTAGGAACGCCTCCGGATCCCCCAGGAGGAGCTAGAAAATGTTCCTAGGGAGAGGGACGTCTGGGGCCACCACGACCAGGCCCCAGATAAGTGGAAGAAAAATAGACAAATTTACTTTCAATTATTGGGAATTAAGATTGCTGAATAACATCATGATGCAGATTTTTTTAAAGTAAAAAGTCAGGCTTTGTCAGGTCTGTCCTTAAGAGGAGAAGAAAACGACTTTTTAAATGTTTATTTGTTGAATGAAGGCCGGATCGATTGTTTCGGATGCATTCAAGAAAGTTGGGAAATCTAAACCTTGATTTGCATTTTGTAACTCAGGTTTACACAAATTTGTGGTAAAGTTGAAATTTTTGATGTAGAACAGATTGTTAGCTGCACTCCCATGCAGATAACTGTTTATAGAGACAAATAAATCGCTGTCAGATTACCCCTGATGCAAGCTGGGATGTCATTACGGTGGACTAGTTACCTCCTGCTTTTGCTCTCCATTTAGACTGTTTATCCTGCAAACACCAAAGACTGCTGATATGTGATTTGTTAATACTCGGAATACAAACGGAAAACAGAACACTCCCCATACTCAAATCTAGGCTCCCGAGGAACACGAGATAGATCTGTCTGGTAGAACAGGAGCATTCATTTTTTTGTTATACCTTGTAGGCGTCCCACAAGGTTCTATTCTGCGTCCTCTTCTTTTTACTATCAGAGTCTGCCACTCCACCTTGGATACGTTTCTACGCAGATGATACCATTCTATACATCATATGACTTCTTGTCCTTTAAATCTAGTGTGTACATCACGACATTTTTACAATAAATATCAACTTAACAGACTTTAAGCTGCTTTTCCGTTCTTTGAAGGGTATTTTGACGACTAGTTAATTTAGCGAGCACAAAGGTACTGTATGTTATTTTGAAATTTTACAGCAAACTGTAACAGCTAGATATTCCTTTAATTTCAGGGAGACAGAATTTGCCAGCAGGATTGTCATTTGTATTCACACCAAAGCACCCGTACTGAAGTCTGTGTTAGTATTTAGGTCAGCCATAATGGTTGCACATAAAAGCCATGATAATGATCTCACTGTGTTGAGTAGGCCTCTGTGTTATTAAGCGTTACTTGTTACTTTCCCTGTTATTTTCTTTTCTACCCTCTCATCTGCCTCCATCCTCTCTTGTTCTCTGTGCATAAATTATGTGTGTGTGTGTCTGTGTGTGTGTCACTCGGTGTGTTTGCGTGTGGGTGTGTGATTAGCATGGCTTGATTACTGTCCAACAGTATCTCACTGACAGTTTCCTCTCTGTGCTCCATCTGCACACACAATCCCTCGATCCCTCCCTTCTTCCTCTGCCCCCTCTAAAGGGCGAGTTCACCCAAATACCAGAGAAACATATTTCATCACGGAACCACGAGTGGCGTCCGGCCATGTGGGGGTTTTGGGTTTTTTTGCATCCAGGTTTTGAGATATCAGTCCTTCAGATTTCTGCTTCTGTCCTTCAAAAAATGGAGGAGGTTGGTGTTTTATATGCAGTGCTCAAAACATTGAGTAATTGGCTCGCACTTTGCCAAATCCAGGTTTTTAATTTCCTCATTTGCAAGTGATTTGGCGACATTTTTCCCACCCAATAATCAGAATTTGCCACATTTATTCCTCCTCTAGTTTTAACGACGTACAGTTTTATATTAGGATGGCTATGTTTCACTAATTTGAATTTAGAACAATTTCTTTCGACTTAACCTCTTGACTACGTCATGGTTAACATTTTGATCACAATCTTTTGGTTTCATTAGCTTATAAGTAATCCTTAATACATCATGATGTTTGTTTTGATGTTTTTGTTCCCATTGTGAGTAAAATATGTGGTCGAGTAGAGTTTGCTTCAGCGCTTGGATACCTGTGATGGAGAAGTGTAATTAACTTGAAGTCTTTTACGCCCCCATGTTTCAGCAGGCGGCTCAATTAAATCCTTTTTACTGCTTTGAAGATGCAGATTCACTTGAGCAGTTGGCGCTCTCACAGCTTTGGAAGTGTGAAAACATTTTCTGACATTGCCTGATCAGACTTAAAGGAAGAATGTGTGACTTTTTTGATCTAGTAGATGTCGCCCTTGAGCTCCAGCATGAAACCAAAACAAACTGCAGCTTGGTGACACCCCGCCAGCGACACACCTCCGACCTCCCAAGGGAGCCAAGTGCAAGCGGCAGACAAAAATGTCCTCAACCATGCTGCAATCACCTGTGTCCTGCATTGTTGTGTTAGCATGCTAATGTTAGCGCTCTTTAGTTAGCTCGTAGCTTCACATTGTTGTGTTAGCATGCTAATGTTAGCGCTCTTTAGTTAGCTCGTAGCTTCACATTTCATGTAAACTGACACAGAATGAGCGTGATCTAAAAACTCTTACTAACATCCAAATAATCAGTGAGTATGTTCTTCTTCTCTCTAGTTCTTGACTAAAACAGCTTTTATACACAAGGGGAGGAGCCGGCCGTCCCGTCCATGTAAACACGGCTCTGACAACAACACAGCCAGCGGGACTCGAGCTTCTCCCTCATTGTAGACAGTCAGGACTCAGAGACACATTTACACAGGACAGACTTTATGATTTATTGATGTGGAACATGTCGCACATTCTTCCTTTAACTTTACAAGTTATGATCTTTGACGCTACGTTCTGTTTATAGACTGATCTGTGGGTGCTGCCATCTTGCAGTAGCATTTCAGCGTCTGCTGCCGCCTGCTGACTGTGAAAGTTGGATTAAAAATGTCATAAAATCGTCTAGTGTGGAGCCGGCCTTACCTCATGGAGTTACTGTAAAAGTAGTAATATTGTTTATTTCTCAGGTCGGCTCAGTCTCAAACACGTAGCGATGTGGTGAGACGCCTCTGCGGTAATGGCGGCTTGTCCACTTCGTTTATATTTTCTCTGCAAACTCTGCATCATCTCTTATACTGACTGATGAGTCTGGCTGATCCTCCACCGAGTGTGCATGTTGCTTTTTTCCTTGTTTTATTCTGTTTATTTCACCAGGAATGTTTTTGAAGGGGGAGCTGTCCCTTTTTTTTTTTTGTGCAAATTTCTGTCGTCGACCGGCAGCTCTTTGGGAGACATTAAATATGTTCCCCTTGATTTTCTGTCTTTCTGTCAGTTTGTGTTATAACACTGGGGGGTTTATTTCTATTGTGTTTGTCTGTTTTCTTGTAAGGAAACATCATGAATAAAATAATTCTTAACAAAAAAGAAGAGCTGCAGTTAGAAAAGCGGTTCTACTTCAGCACCATGGACAGCGCCCAGGATTTATAAACACAAAGCACAGTAAAGGCTGCTGATATACCAGAGTCACGGTCGCAGCCAGATAACGGATCAATGAGCCGACTGCATTAACAAATTCAACTGAACAACCTCCCTGCCTCTGCACGCTCTCTCTCTTTCTGCAAAGGGCATCAGGACAGGGGGGCGGGGGGGTTTCAGGTTAACAAATGGGAATTTTCTAACAAACTCTTTTGAAGGCTGAGGCGGCAGAAGTCACAGAGACAGAATCTCAAAACCTGGATTGATAAAACCAAAACTCTGAATGTGTTTTTTGTTATTATGTGATTTTTTTGTGACGTATATGTTCTGGAAAAGCAACCGACTCCTCTCAGATGTCCCCCTTGACCCCCCTCCTCCTCCTCCTCTCTGTATTACTGTTTTACACCTTGTTGTTTTGTCTCCACAGTCACTGTATCCATCAGATTCTAGACAGTGTGTCTTACACCCACCAACATGACATAGTGCACAGGGACCTCAAGGTGTGTGTGTGTGTGTGTCTCACTGTGTTGCATTTTCCCTGCACCCCTCTGTAACAAGGGTTGCTTGTGATTTATTTCATGCCTGTGATTTACAAAAAAAAAAAAAAAAAAACTTGCCTGTGCCTGCTCTCCGTCTTTTCTCTTATTTGTCTTGCTTGTCTTCAAGGTTTATGCTTTTGGGACTCTTGTTGCACTATTCTGGACGGTCTGAACTCGATTTTTCTTTTTGCAGATTAAGCACCTTGCTCTTGGAGAGAACGAGAGAGAGAGAGAGAATGGTGTGAGAATGAAAGTTCAGTAGCGGAGCGTTGTGTCTACTTCAAAAAAGCTCGGAAAAACCTGTTAAAATGTTTGGTCAGAGGCAGCGTTTGTGCATAAATTAGAGGGGAGATTGTGCAGGTTAGACACTGTGCTGCCCACATGGAGCTGCAGCTCACTCCCACACTGCCTGACTAATGTTTGGCTCCTTCCTGCCAGCAGAAAATAGCTCAGTGCACACCTTCTTGCTGCGTAGTTCACAGACAGGAACACTCTTCACACTGACAATCATTCCTCTATTGAAAACGTGTGTGTGTGCGTGTGTTTGGTGTGTGTGTGTGAAGCCTGTATTGAGATGTTGCTGCCTCTGCATGGATGTGACAGTTGTGGGGGGGGGCTGAATGTGCTCAGACTAACCTGCTCCCCCTGCTGTTTGCGTGCAGTCATTGCATCCAGCAGATCCTGGAGGCCGTGCTCCACTGCCATCAGATGGGGGTGGTACACAGAGACCTCAAGGTGAGTCACCTGCAGGGGTGTGTGTCTGTGTATGTGTGTATCCGTGGGATTTTGTGTTTGTGCACTGGATTCTGGTGAGTAGAAGCGAGACACACTCAGAGCGTGCATGTCCGTGCATGCATGCAGGGCCTGATCTTTACACACATGCATGAGTGTGTGCCTTCTTGTGTGTTGTTCAACTTTGCATTTTTTGCATTCAATTTTGCATCGCAGCGTAGCTTCTGTATTTGTTTGTTATTGATGATATTTAAGTGAGAGCATTGTTTCTGCTGACCTAACGCAGCTTAAACTCTCACCTTACCGTAGTGATGTTAAAGAGATCTTTAAGTTGTGTCGGAATGTGTGACATCATTAGTGGGCGTGGCTAACAGGCTGTTAAACCATATAAGGGTATGTGAAATGCTGCTTCACAGTCGGCCTTAAAAGTATTAAGTACGATAAAAACATAAAATCTTCAAAGCTAGATTTATATAATATGATGTAAAATAAATAAATATTTATCTGCATAATTAAAGTTGAAGTTAAGATTTTGTAGATTTTAAACTTTCCTCACAGATATAAAAAAAAACAAATAGAATAACAAGCAGGTTTTTTAAACCAACCAAACACAAGACAAGCATACTATATGTTTACATCTGATTTACACACGACCAACAATTCCCTTAAATATTAAAGGAGCAGTATGTAACTCTGACCCCTAGTGTTTAAAATGGGTACTGCAGTCTAAATTCTAAACATCATAGAGAGCTGTCTCCCCCCCCCCCTCCTCTCTAGAGTGGATGCTCACTCAGGCCACCATGTGGTGGACTCTGAAGCTTCAGTGTTTATCCAGCTCTGCATGGGTCTGTAAACCTTTCTGTGTTCTAACCTCTCTCCATTTTTCAAAAGCATCTCCAATATTGATCCTAGTTTGAGCACGTTTCTGCTCGTGGAGCTTATTAGAAACATGCAGAGGCTTTTTAGGTCGGGTACAATCACTTCTATCTGAACCACTTCTCTTGACCGCTTCCATCGCTGCAACACCTGTTGACCTGATAACTGCTCTCATATCTGACAAACCGAGGGGCGTCCAAAACAGCCTCCCTTTTGGATTATTTTTGTCATTTTTCTTCCCCTCACATGCTCCCTTTAAACTTTCCTGCAAAAATAACAATCTAAATTATTTTTTTATTGTAGTTTTATTCATCTCATGTTTATATATTCTTATGAAACATGATTGTCTTTGTACTGGCCTCAGCTTGCCCGACATTATTGCACAGAGACTCTTCAGGGAAATCCACCATCACGTTACTCCAAAGGTTTCCACGCACGGAGGAGGAAATGGAGGAGGGAGTGTGAGGTTGTTGTTGTTGTTGTTGTTGATTTCCCCCGAGGACGTTTAGAAAGTTACTACAGAACAGAGTATAGTAGTATCGTAGTAGTTTTCTCATTACCTGTGTTTTTAAAATATAGAGGTTAATATGTTTCTGTTTTATCAGCCATGAGGGGGTGGCACCTATTATCTCAAAGGTCGATATTTGATTTGAAAGGCGCCGTGTGTGTCGTTGTTCAGTGAGTTTCATCAGGTGGAATGAAAGGCGGTATCAAGCTGAATATATATATATCAGTGCAGTGCTTCTATTTATTTTATTCCCCAGTTAAATTAATCTTCTTCCTGTCGAGGAAGGAAAAGAAAAGAGCAAAATTAACTTCTACTTGTTTTCTTTTTTTCTCTGAATCGGACTTCAGGGTAAAAATGATCCGAGTGTGTGACAGAGAGAAATAAAATCATATGACCTCGACGACTGGAGGCTGGAGGAGAAACTCCAGATAAGGGGAGAGAGAAACATTCATCTGTTTGTGTTCACACATGACGCTCCTCCTGGAAACTTCAGGAGTACAGAGGCCAAATCACAGCGTCCAGTGTCAGCAGATTGTACTTAAGCTAAAAGCTAATGTCAAAATGCTAACATGAGCTTACCGCACGCTGACAATGCTAACTGCTGCTAATAGTTAGCAGGACAAATAACATATCTAAAGTCCTCATTTGCATGCTAACATTTGTAAATGAACGCTAACCTAACCTCATGATTGCGCTGCTAATTGAACTTTTCATTTTTCAACTTTCTTAAAAGATAAAGATATTTGTAAGCTGTTTTTTTTTTTCACTTTTGGATGGAGCCATGCCAGCTGCTTCCCTTTTTTATGCTAAGCTAAACTAAAAACCGACTAGCTTAAGCTTTATAGTTTCAACATGGACATGATAAAAGTCTCAGTCTTCTCATAAAAATCATACAACTCAAAATTTTAGGATATTACTTTTTATCTAGAGTTTTTTTTTCTCCAGAATTAAGCGTTAAAAGTGTCAAAAGACGTTCCATAACTCACGACAGAGGACGAACCAGACTCTCGTTGTTGCTTGAATGAGTGGCTTTACTTTGTGTTTTGATATCAACTGTCTGTGTAAGATAGTTTTTAAAAAAGGTTTCGTCGTCTTTCATCAGTCACACTTCCTCTGATAGAGTTTCTGAAGCGGCCAGCAGAGGGCGCCATGACGACTGTCCTGCAGCTGTTTGTGTGCCGCTGTGCTGGAATGACTTTTTGGTTATTAGCACAAATCAATCACCATCAGGGGTTAGCTGGTTATACAACAGGGAGCTGTGTGTGTGTGTGTGTGTGTGTGTGTGTGTGTGTGTGTGTGTGTGTGTGTGATTGCTGTTACATCAGCGCCCGAGCGGTAAAGACACGACTGATACAGAAAGACGAGCTGTGTTTGGCCTTCCTCGAGCAAACACACGGCAAAGAAAGAAGGCTCATACATATTATTTTTAAATCCCATCCGTCTGTCTCAGCCTCAGAGTGTGTGTGTTCACGTGTGTGTGTGTGTGTGTATGTGTGTGTGTGTGTTCACGTGTGTGTGTGTGATAGAATATGTATGAGTGCATGCAAAGCTATTCTTAGTCCTCTGATCTGGGTTTAACTGGTTTCATCTCAGTGGCTCCGTCACACTTTCTTTGCTGTTTTCTTTTAAAATTATCAGGAGTCATATTTTCCTCCATGATGCAGGAACAGAGCGGGGGGGGGGGGGGGGGGGGGGGGTGACAATGGCTTAGGCAGGCTCTATTATCTGAAAGCCCCCCCCCCCCAAAAGAGACCCAGCATAACCTGTGTGATATTCAGAAGGACTCAAAAGATGAAAAATGACAAAAACACACACAGGTCCAAATTAACGACAGAGACAAAACATGAGCGCAGAGAGGAGCAAAATTACAACAGAGATGTAAAATGACAACATCGAGAGACGTGGAATAACTACAAGTTATGCAACAGAAATGTACAAAATGACCAAT